TCTCCCAAGGTTTTTTCTCCATTCTGTCACCGATGGAGTTTTGGTTCCTTGCCGCTGTCGCCTCTGGCTTGCTTAGTTGGGGACACTTCATTTCCAGCGATATCGTTGACATGATTGCAAAGATATTATTTCTAAGCTAACAGAGTGTGTTAAAAATGTAAAAGATTAGATGACCAATAATTTTCTTTTATTAAATTAGGATAAGACAGAGATATTACTTATTTGACCAAGAATCTCTTGGATTACAATTTGCAACTAGACTGATGTACTGTTACTTCCTCTACAGTCAAAAATCTGGGTGTTATATTAGATAGCAACTTGTCTTTTGAAAATCATATTTCCCATGTTACAAAAACGGCATTCTTCCATCTTAGAAACATTGCCAAGTTACGAAACATGATACCTGTTTCTGATGCAGAAAAGCTAGTTCATGCATTCATGACCTCTAGACTGGACTATTGTAATGCACTGCTAGGTGGTTGTCCTGCATCTTCAATAAACAAGCTACAGGTAGTCCAAAATGCAGCGGTCTGTGTTGTTAACTTGATAAAGGGTCAAGTAGAAAAAGCAAGAATTACAGTTGATTGCTCGATTAGTCGTGTCTGAGTTTTGATTAGCCGCTGCAATCAAGGTAATCTTTGAGCGTCATCTACTGTTTTTATTGTATACTGAAGGCCACTCGAACTTAATTCCTTTCATCAGAAACTTCCTACTGACTCAAGACACTCTGAACTTGATGAAAATTGCTTGACAGACACTTGTTGCTATCTGTTCATAAAGACTGGGGTTTTATTAATAAGCAACTTGATTAATAATACATATGTACACAATCATGTCCTACATGTGCAAGCTTAAAGAATAAGATATTCGTTTTAAATTACGTCTCAGTTTCAGGTAATTGATCTGCAGCTGAACATCAGTAATGATCTTAATGAAAATGTCTCGTGAGGTGTATTACGAATGTGTTCATGATTGGCGTTGGATGTGGTGCTGGGGGCAGAGCTCCTGTCACTTCCACCGCCCGTCTCGTGTTTACGCAAGGCGCAGCACCGTATATAAAGCGCTTGAGGTGCGGGCAGGATAGAACAGATCCGTGAGTGGACAATTCCTTATTTCTGAAAGACCTCGCTAAGAATCGGGAGACGCAAAAAAGAACATTGGAACAAGAATCTTCAAGGTTCCAGTCCAGAGAAATAACTGTACCTAAACCCTTTGGCTGCTGAAAGTAAGTTGCATGTGAAGGTGCCATATCAAAACTTGCGTTTAACATTTGAAAGATGCTAAATTTGGCTTTTAGTGGAAAATCTAGGCTTTATTGTTTTCATTACTGTAAAATGATTTCTGAGTGTTTAATGTCGGATACAAAAGATGCTTTCAGTGTGTTATATGTATTAGTACGAGCACATTCAGCACCATGGACAGCAATCACTTTGACGCTCATACTACTTTTAATGAGCTGCTAGGGGGAAAACAAAGTTCGATAGCCTAGATTAACATTAAAAAATAAATTTTATTTATTCACAATTATTCCATTTCGTAAAAAGTTTTTTTTATCATATGGTTTTAAACACATTTTAAAGTGATTCGTTTATTAATGCAGTTCAAAGTCTTGATCTAGTGTGTTTTTGAATTTTGATTGATTTGGATAATCGGTCCGACAAATCATTCCCAATTTCAAAGACGTATTTTTTATTAGTGTTAAAAAATGAAGTTTTTGCCGTGGTGCTGACTGCAATGTGCACAGCTACTAACTCGCAAAGCTATTACAAAACTGTATTTGACGCAACTACTCTTCCACCTGTTGTTGTTCTTATAAAACGCAGTTTCTTTTAAAGCAACCACAAGAAGTCTTCTTGTACATTAGTTAATGGAAGGAAAAAACCCGCGATTTGTATTTTTCAGATGGCCATCATGCTGAAACCCTGGACCGTCATCGCTACTGTCCTCTTCTGCGTGCTCCTGTGTCTCGGGACCTTTGTGGACGCCTATCCGCCCAAACCAGAGAATCCCGGAGATGACGCTCCTCCGGAGGAACTCGCCAAATATTACACCGCGCTGAGACACTACATCAACCTCATCACGAGACAACGGTGAGAGAGTCACGCGGTGTATCAGACAAATGCACCTGTGAATGCGTGTTTGCTTAAAATGTTCTTATCACCCCACCCGGCTTCGGACTTCGAACAGGTAGCCATGATACAAATGATTTCCCTCTGGCATCTTTGCACCATCTCTCAGTAATATGTCAGGAAAAATGTCCAAGTTCTGCAGTAGGATTCTGAAATTGCATTATGGTCCACTTTTTAGTGGCCAAAGGCTCTTCGTATAACAAATCTGAGTGATAAAACCCAAACAGTGCACCTCGGAGAAGCCTCTGAGATTGAATAGGCTACTCATCTGTCATAGATTGATGTTTCTCTCAGCCCTGCTCTATAGAGGACTACATTTATTTACATATTTATAGTCTTCTAACAAGCCTTTGACATTTAGGACTCAGACAATGAGCGACACATTCCAATATAAAAAAATACAGTAAATCATTTTTCTCCCCTCAATATACTTTAATTCCAGTTTATTACAAGAGAGTACCTAATGTCAGCCTCATCTCGTTCCAATGCCCTGCTAGTCCACCAAAGAACCTTAAATCTTGCCGGTAAGAGGTCCAAATGAAAATCTCTGATGAATATCTACGATAAAACCAACAGACATGATGGTTCAAGCAGCTAAACCATGTGTGCGTCACAGTCGCGACTGCATTAAATGAACCCTGGCCTCTTCACAAAGTATTGCTGACGTTCATAATGGGGAGCAGGTGAGATTCTGTAGAGCTCATGGTTCAGAAATAACTAAAACATTAGTTTGGTCTCAGACTCATTGATGTTGCTCGTAGGCATCTATCGAGGAGGAATCTGAGCATGAAATTGCTTTGTGGATTTGAGTGCCAAACACTGCCCTTTAGATGTTTTTCAATGTAGGCCTATTCATCTTGAAGATGCCGTTCTGAGAGAAACGAACAAGTCAAGTATTATTGACTCAGCTCCATAATAAAACTTTTTTCTCAATTTCCAGTAAATGTTCTTTAGAACTGACAGTCATGGTTTGTCTGAAGATATAGAGGCTTTGTACCTTTCATCTGTGTGATCAATGTCAGAGTCTTCTAGGTGACGTGTCTCAAGCACATTCAGCTGTCAAGCGGTCAAAAAACATTTAACTGCTAAATTAGATTCATAACGTCTTGGGTGAAAAGACAGTTTGTATTTGTATCAGTGATTGGTGTCTGACAGATAAAGTGGGCTGACTAGTTCTTTTCACTTCCCGACACTTTCACACACCACAATGAGCCCACTGTGTGAGCAATTTGAGATCATTATTTCAGTACTGAAATGTTCCCAGCTAAGCTACATGGCTGGAATGAAGTAATGAGGGAATAAAATGTCATATTTCTTACACTCAGGTATGGAAAAAGGTCCACCTCGGAGGATGTGATGACTGAGTTGCTGTTCGGAGATGACACAGAGCACAAACAGAGATCAAGGTGGGAGTCTTTCTTTTAACTTTAACTGCAATTTTAATGTTAAATAATAATAGACTTGTCTTACAACAATAAGATTGTTTCCTGATGTAAATAGTAATCTAAAGGTATTTGGGGTAAATGCAGTTTTTTAAATTCTCGAGGAACACACTCATGAAGGGTGATGGGTTGTGTGTTAATAGGAAGGAGGAACAACTCATGAATTTTTCACACCTGTTGAGGAAACAGGGGACAGATGGGATTCTTTTCTCTCTGTCTGTCAGGAAGGGAGTGGGTTCGGGAACATGACGCACAATGAATATTTGAAAGGCCTTGACATTTAATTAGGCATCAAAAAGGAAGAAATCGCACTGTGCTTACTAATTGAAAACTGTAAATCACTGACAGAAATTGCAGCATTAATGAAAAGATTGAAGGTGAAATATTATCAGTGAAAACATACTGAATAGGGAATATGCCGTATTGATGTCAGAAAAAATGACAATGTTGATTGCGTATTAATTACATTTATCTCTTTCAGATATGATGACTCTTATATGTGGTGAAGTTCAGTGACCCCCGTGCTGCTTGTCCTGAGCTAAGCCCACCTGTGCCTCCCACAAAAAACCTTCAGACAACTAAATGAGAACCAGTCACCATCAACCTCATCCACCTCTTTATTAAACACATCCTCTCTTTTCTTTCATGTGCACAGAACAAATCTCATTAACAACTGTATATAATATATTATAATAGGAACTATCAATGGAAATGTATAATTGTATACTTCATTGTGTCATACAGAAATTATGAGTTTTGTTTGTACCATGTAAATTATTCTATGTGATTAAAAGTTTATTGGTTGAATCGGGCTATTTCTTTTGCTCTGGTGGTTTTTGAACAAGCTGTACAATATGCCATAAAGAAAAAGAACAAGTCATTTAAAAAAAATGAAATAGTTTGATACATCGTAGTACATTTTCAATACTTGTTTTTCTTTTTTATAAGGGGATTTCTAAATGACCAGCAGATGTCCCTCCTGTAAAATAAAAGAGATCCCTGTTAGACACGTCAAGAGCACAGCATGTACGGCAAAATACTTTCATTTTATTTTATTTATTTATTTTATTATTATTTTTTGACCACAAGTCAGAGCTAACGTCTCATTCTACAAAAACAGCAACTGCTCATTACATTTTTAACAGCAATTTATATGAATAACAGTTAACACATAACACTTATATTATTAGCTATTTATTTAATGCTGCGAGGGTCTGTTTATATATTTATATAACACGTTAAACAAGTTAGTAAAATAAATTTTAGCTGCTGAACCTGCAACTGCATCTTATCTTATCTGAACTGATTGGCACTGTTATGTAAATGAGTGAAGAACATTTAAAGCGGGTTGTCGAGAACATTCTATTGTTAACACGCCCCTATAGCCAAACATCAGCTGGTGGGTCCCACCTACTGAGACGTTTGAGCGTTGCCCCTTTATGTTTACGCAATGGCTAGACTCTGATTTGATGCTTTGTAGCGGTTCAGACACCTCTCACATAATCAAAACAACGTTACGAAGCGTCTACGATAAAGGAAAGGTTAGTATCTCTTTTTACGATACACATATTTTCAAAGCTATGTATGTTGTGTGTTGACGCATCCCTCTAAACGTGTGTTCCATTCAGGAACTGAATGGAACACATTCAAGCTAATCGTTTCATCTGCTGTGCTATACTATATTATTGTTGTCGTCTTATTGTTGTTAAGTGGTTAGGAATTAAGTAAAATTATGAATTCATCCGTTGTTTAATGAGTCTGGAGGTTATAGATGTTCTTCATCCGCATGATTTTCTTTCATTCATCATATTTAAGTTCAGATGTGAATGCTGATTTTGTGTGAAATTAAGGCTGCATCATATATATTTGGTATCGTTCCGTCCATATTGTTGCTGGTGAGTGAAATCATTATCATGAAATCATCACTAACATCAGCACTTCAGTATTATTAAAATAAAATGTATTGTGAAATTATTCATGCCTAACTGTAAGAGAACCAGTGATCAAAATTTAGAAATATACTGTAATTTTTTTGTATGTAAATTCAGCTATAATATATTTGGGATGTAACAAAGGTACAAAACAGTGGCTGAAACATTAATATGAAGATTAGGGGACATTATTATACAGCAATTAGTTTTGGTCCTCTAATCTGATTGCTCCGTTGCAAGAGGTCTGATATTTATTATAACAGCTCTGGGACGGGACACTTTACTGTGCCCCAAATTACCTCTATTCCCTTATTTTAGGTGTCAGACATTTTGAAATGGTGTTCAAAACCATAGTGAAGTGGTTTGTCTAGTGCACTCATTTAATAACAACAACAAAAAAGCACAAAGAAAAAAAAAATAATATTAATAACCGACAGATGATAGTTGGTGGTGCTTTATTTGAATGATTGGTGAGTGCACTAAAAACACATTCATGATACTATTACAGTAGAAGATTAAAGCGTTAATACATATGAATATTTATGTGCTGAAATTACCTCTATTCCCTTATTTTAGGTGTCAGACATTTTGAAATGGTGTTCAAAACCATAGTGAAGTGGTTTGTCTAGTGCACTCATTTAATAACAACAACAAAAAAGCACAAAGAAATAAAAAATAATATTAATAACCGACAGATGATAGTTGGTGGTGCTTTATTTGAATGATTGGTGAGTGCACTAAAAACACATTCATGATACTATTACAGTAGAAGATTAAAGCGTTAATACATATGAATATTTATGTGCTGTCAAAACCATGTGATTAAACGCAAAGAATAATCAGGCATAGTCTCAGCTTCTCGTTATGGTTTCTTAAAGGGGACGTAGACCTATTTGTGTGTGCTGGAGACAGATGGGACATGCCTTTTTCTGGCTCGAGGGAGCAGATGGAGAGTATGGCTGCTTGTGATGTGGGCTGGGCCAGACCAGGGTGCCATTAGCGCAGGGGGCTCAGCGGGGTCTGCAAGAAAGAAGGTGGGGGGGCTCAGGAGTCGCTAAATTATGATAAATTCACTACCCCTCCTTTTTTATAAAGGGCTGGAGGAAGACCCCCTCACACTTTCTCTCAGGGGATCTCACTCAGATGCTGAGTTTGCATTTATAGTTTCAGGCAGTTGAATGAACTTGACAGTAATATTAGTGAGAATAGGTTGAATATGATACCAAGATGAAATAATAATTTTTAATAATTTATAAATTCCACATATTATTGCTAATATAATAAAATAATACTATTTTGACAAATGATTTAAAAATATGTATTAAATGTGTACTTTGTAAATTGTAACATTTAAAAGTATAAATATATAAATATATAAAATTGATACAGTACATTTAAATGTATACAGTATATAAACATTTTTTTATTTTACCTGGCCCAACCAAAAATAGTTTTCTTTGTTTATGAGGAGTTCTGTTTTAAATATATTTATTTATTTAGTTGAAACAATACACATAGTAAATATAGTGGATCAAAAATTGGACCAGAGTTATTATATAAAAAATGTTGTTGATTGAAATAAAATAAAGATGAACTAAACTTTTATATATATATATATATATATATAAGTTTAGTTAATCTTTATTTAACTGTGTATTTTACTGTATAGATATATATAATTTCTATCTATCTATCTATCTATCTATCTATCTATCTATATTTATTTATTTCAATAATGCCATGGCAACAATTATCATTTTTTATGTACTAAAATAACTAAAACCATAATACCATAATCTGTATAGACAAATAAAAAAAAACGAATTAAAACTTTTCTAAAACATAAATGAAAAATCTAAAATTGAAATTATGAACACAAACTACAATAGTATCTCAGTGATACTAAAATAACACTTGAACTAAACTTTTATATATATATATATATAAGTTTAGTTAATCTTTATTTAACTGTGTATTTTACTGTATATATATATATATATATATATAATTTCTATCTATCTATCTATCTATCTATCTATATTTATTTATTTCAATAATGCCATGGCAACAATTATCATTTTTTATGTACTAAAATAACTAAAACCATAATAAAAATGACTGTATAGACAAATAAAAAAAAACGAATTAAAACTTTTCTAAAACATAAATGAAAAATCTAAAATTGAAATTATGAACACAAACTACAATAGTATCTCAGTGATACTAAAATAACACTGATTTGAACACTTTAAAATAACTAGCATAATTTGTTTGCAGATTATTTGGACATTTTAATTGCAGTTCAATTACTTTTTGGGACCCCCTGTTTATTTGGTATTTTATTTTACATTGTAACCCTATAATTTGATTTTTTTTTTCTTCTGCAACATTGCTAATATTAATATCAATATGCTAATACTGTGCTAACTTTGATGTTCAATTTTTAAAGTTTTAAGCAAACAGCTTGATCAGAGAAGCAATTCATGTCCTGTTATTGTGCCTGCAGGTTAACAATAAAGCCTGTTTGTTTTGTGTGGGTTAATAAAAGCAAAGAAGATGGAGCCCTGGGGGGTGTCTGTGATTAAAGATGGTGGAATAACTAGTAGAACAACAAAAAAATCAGAGGTGCTTGAGGCATTCACAATCACAACACCTATATATTCAAACAAAGCACAGCCAACACCCATTAATAAAGACCTGCAGGAAAAGAGTTGCTTGAAATGAGCTAGATGAGACATTGGACTCCATTTCAATGTTTGCCTGAACTGAACTGACACTTCATCCCAGTATAGCAGCATCACTCTGAACCCTGTCATGCTTGTGAAACAGAGGTGTGTGTGAAGTCTGACCTCTCCATCCCACTGGGACTGATCTCAGCTACATCAACAACAGATTCACACTAGCATCACAAAACCACATCATCAAAGTGCCCATGTTTTTTATGTTTGATTTATATAACTGCTACAGTTAGATCTTGTATATTGCACTTATTAAAATCCAAATTTGAAAAAGAAGATTTTTTTTAGCACACTTTCCTTTGATTAAATGTGATTTTATTTGACAGCCCAGCAAAATCCTTGTATTTGTATATATTAAAGTGAATAGAATAAGTCATCAATCAAAGTCTTTCCAGGAATTTACATTTATGCATTTTGCCGATCCTTTTATCCAAAGCAAGTTATAAGGAATTTGTCCTAGAGATAACAATATTCATAGTTATTAGAAAGCTACACGACACTATAAAACAAGCTAGAGCAAAGGTGAATTGCAAGAAGAAGAGAATTATTATTATTTTTATTTCCAAAAAGCAGATTATACCGCTAAAGTAGGCTTATTTGACCTTGTTTACTCTTTTACCTCAAATACATTGAGTACAGACTTTTAAACTGAAGCTCAGCTAAACCCTCTTAAGTGATTTCAGAACTGTTCTGGCCCATGTTTAATTTACTCACCCTCATATCATTCCAAACCTGCATGACTCTTTCTTTTGCGATACACAAAAGAAGATATTTTGAAGAATGTTGGTAACAGTTTTGGTGCCCATAAACTAACATTGTATGGACAAGTACATTTCTCAAAATATATCTTTTGAAAAAAAAAGAAAGAAAGTAAGTCAAACATGTTTGGGAAGATATCAGATAGTCCAGATTCTTAAGTAAGCCATTCCAACTTCCATGTATAGCAGCTACTTTCCCCTTTATAGGGAAGTAGGCTACTAGTCACTTAGCTCATAACCTACGTAACATGTGGGAGAAAAAGAATCACTATAGCAACCACCTCCGTCATACAGTGTATGTGCAAATGGTTCATGGTTGCATAGGATTTTTGAGAATACTTTGTTCTCACTATTTGTGTTGAAAACCTCATAATGTCAGTAGAATGGTTTGTTGTTAATGCTCCGATGGGAAGAGCCCTCTTTGAGCTTAAGTAATGAAGGCAGTGTAATCTTCTCTAGCATAAACACGGCTAATTGACTGCTCACTGTGGGCTGTATCAGTACATATCTTACATAATGCATCCTGTTTTGTAATATGATTGACAGCGCAGCTCCTCCTTGTGAGAAAGTGTCACAAAAACACAACAGATGTCCAGACTTAGAAAATAATTGTTGGATTAGCCATTTGTATGTGTGTGTGTGTGTGTGTGTGTTTGCGTGCTCAAATGAGAGAGAGAGAGAAGTTGTGTCAGGTCTTTACCTCCTCTGATCCTTCAGGTCTTTGAGGGATTACTGCTTACTGGGACATTGTTTACACAGTTTCAGAGCAGGAACTTATGGCAATGAGAACCTTATGGACTGTGTGTCATACTGAATTGGAATCTTATCCATCCATCCATGTCTGTCTGTCTGTCCATCTGCCCACCAGTCTGTTATATGACATAATGTACAGTCAGTGGTCAGTATAGCAGGTAATCAGGACCCTGTATCAGCTCTATTTCATCATATTGACCAACAGATGGAGCATTACCATGCTGATAATAAACCTAATAACATGAATCACTGCTTTAGTTGTTAGAAATGATTTTATTACATTGGGATAAAGAGACTGTGGAGTGATAGATAAATCTATTGCCCGGAACAGCACAGCGGTCATTTATACAGAATTATATGAATTATTATTTGTAGTATGCAGTGATTGACCAATCGGAATCAAATATTCCAGAAAGTCTATAATAAATATGTAATAAAAAATCTTTCAGTCTTACTCTTAGCACTTCTGTCACTCCCACCCTCTCTCCTCCTCCTGTAACTCGTGTCTCCAGTGCACCTGCTCCCTGTCATGGTTTCATTTGGATGACAGGGCTGAATCTAAGCAACCCCCTAGAAACCATTCATTCTCTCCCTCCCACCTTTTAACACACACACACACACACACACACACACACAAAGACTGCATATCTCATTTTATTGTATATATCGTCATAGCAACCACAGCTTATTAGTAAATGCTCCCACTCTTTTAAATTTATTTTCTTTCCCTATCTTTCCTTTGCTTATACTTACTCTATCCTCTAGTCTAATGACGATGTTAAATATTAATGTTAGATCTCTCTCTCTGATGCTTTGGTTGCAGATTTCAAACATCATGCCTGTGGCAGCCACCGGCACAGAGCATGGTAAGTATCATCATATATAAAAGTGTTTTTGGCCCTGCCGACTTTTTAAAATAAACATATAAAACACACTTTTTACACTCTCACTGTTTAATGTTTAATATATCCAATAACAATGTCCAACAGTGAACATACAGGCATCACAAGAGATGTCTTTTACTTTTGAACCAGTTGTGTATTTCCACCATTGTCATTTCCATCACATTTCAAATCATGTATTGTGTTATAACAGCATTCTGTGATGGAAATAACGGTGATGAAAATGATGCTTTAAACATTTTGATGTTATAGTTAGCATTTTGTCCATCCTAAATACCCACTTTGCTGTTTAACAAGTAAAGCATAAATGTATGGTGAAATGTTTCCAAGAGTGAAAAGAAAAGAGTTTTCAATTTGTTTTAATGAAAAAAGCTTTAAAAACTTTTCCATGTAATATAAAAGCATTTATTTACGGCATATACACCGCCATGGTCCCTAATGCAGACGGCTCAGTCTTATTGCAGCAAACTACTGTTGCTTTGTGCCTGTGGTGTAAACAGTAGCCACAACAAAGTAGTTTCAATCATTCTAAGTATTTGAAGTCGAGCAAAAACTGTATCGATCATAACAGATGAATCACAGAAATAATGGTCACTGAAGGTAATGTGACTGTTTGTGTGAGGATTTTCCTGCCACTGTACTTATAAACATGGACACCCTTGTGCCACAGACACAGGCATATCCAGCTTCATTGATATCATTCCCTGGAGATCCACTGCAGTGTCTGTTAATAAATACTGTGTACTTCTGATGAAACTCTTAGAGTTGATTATTTATCGTAAAGGTGCTGTGATCTACCCTAAAAGGTCAGTCCCTCGACATCCCCCAGTCAAATTTCAATAGTTAGAAAACTGAAGAAAGCTTTCTTACTGCTCTCACAAAAATTTACTGTAAAGCTGGAAAAACTGTGTGGCAAACGACAGGCAAATGCTGATACAATTTTACCACAAGTTCATATTTCATATACAGTTGAGCTGTACATTTAAAAAAGACCTAATATCGTCCATATGGTAAGATGTAAATATACTGTAAAACAGATTGTGTGAGTATGTGTTTGATCAAAGAGCACAGTATCACATAAGCAGCTACATAATCAGGCCTCTGTCTTCCCCCCCCCAGCAGTGCCGCAGGTGCTGGACATACTGAGTGACAGCACCAGCTCCGCCACCGCCAATGACCTGGATCTTATCTTCCTCAAGGGCATCATGGAGAGCCCAGTGGTCAGTTTTCAGCCCCAAACATAAACAGCCTTTATTGAATAAAAAAATTTTTTTTTTTAATGACTGTACATTATCTCACTTATTACTGCTCAACAGTTAAATACATTTATTAAATATTGATTTAAAATTAAGTTAAAATGAATTTATATTTACTGGTCAAAAGTTTGGAATAATTAAGATTTTTTTTAAATGTTTTTGAAAGAAGTCTCGTATGCTCACCAAGACTTAATTTATTTAACTACAAATACAGTAAAAACAGAATTATTATCAATTATTATTGATGTTCAACTACTAATAATGGTTCTTATTATTATTATAAAATGCTGAAAACAGTTTTTGCTGCTTAATTTGTAGAATTAACATTTACAGAACATTTGTAGATCTACATTTATAGAACATCACGATTCTTTGATGAATAGAAAGTAAAAAAAAAAAAAACAGTTCAGAAAGTTCCAAAAAAAGGCAAACACTGCAACAATATTACAGTGATATTAATACCAATGTCCTCAGGTGTAATTTTCACTACAATCAATAATTGAGACACAAGAAGGCGGCAGTTGTATTTGTATGAAACAAAAGACTGCGAGTCTACAGATGAAAATAAATATGGGAGATGTTGTTTTAGTGGCTTAAAAGTTATACTATCCTGTATGGGGATGGATCTTAACCAGTATCAGCCTGAAAAATATTAGAATGATATTGTATAAGAAACATGGGGATACATACACATAAATGAGTAAATGGTAAATAATGAGTATAAGAATAAATACATGATAAATGTATTTTATATATATCTGAATATGAATAAAATAAGATAAAAAATAATCTTGTGGAAGTAAAAGCCACAGTAGCAAAATAGGCATTCTCTCATGACAAACCAATGACTGATGATGAATATGGCCCTTAAAAGCTGACTGATCTCTTAGAGTGCAGAGAGTCTGGAGGAGACACGACTGGAGGCTGTGAGGGATAATAATGTGGAGCTGGTGCAGGACATCCTGAGAGAGCTGAGCCCCTTTACACACCGCAGCAACACCGCCGCAGAGCTGTCACGCATACTCAACCAGCCACACTTCCAGGTACACAGCTGCAGATCAACAAACCTGTCAAATGCAATGGGAATAATAGACAGTCTGATTAATGACTGACATGCTGTGCTTTTGATGATCAGTCTCTGTTGGAGACACATGACTCTGTGGCCACTCAGACGTGTGAGACTCCGCCCTCGAGCCCCTGTGCTTTCATGGAGCCGCCCGTCAACAGTGTACCGGTGCCAGCTGATGCCATCCGCATGGTGGGCATCCGCAAAGTGGCTGGAGAGCATTTGGTAAGATTCCATTCTGAGTGTTTCTGTGTGCAGATCAGGCTTTCAGTTTGGCTAATCTCTCATACTCAAGATATAACAGCCTTTATCTTGACATTGGTTCCCACAGTAACAAAACTTTTTCCATGCCTAGCATAACTCACAGAAATGGGGGTTAGAAATCTCTATAGAGAATATACATTTTATATTTATGCTGTGCTCTAAAATATGAAAATGTGAATATACATTGTATATTAACTAAATTCTATAATTATAATTTTTATATAATAGTAATGTTATATGAAATTATAATACTAATATTGTATTTTATAGCAAAGCATAGTTATAGGATTAAACAAAATTATTATGGTTATGCTCTTGTATAAAATAAGAGATTAATATACATTTTACAAAATGTATCTAGTGAATATATATTTATATTCATGAAATTATAGAATTATATATTATATCATATTTCCATATATTAGTAATGTATAAATAAAGTCACTGTGTGGGAAGATTTGCATAACACCGCCCAAATGTATATGCAAAGAAAGAAGGCTTAACTTTTATTCTCGCTGTAGTATTGTTGCTGCCGCTGCCACGTCATGGAGACGCTGTGTGTTTCGTTGCGATAACCAAACTACTTTGTTTGGTCTTCCAAAAGAGAACACAACTAGTAATACATTTTTATTTACAACACTGTTCCAAAACAGTACAACCCAAATATTCGAGTGTGAGCAGCGCATTTTACGAAGGAAAGTTTCCTGAACCTGTAAGGAGCGTAACATTTCCGTCACACGCTTGAGGTATTCAGCCAATCACAACGCACTGGATAGCTGGCCAATCAGAGCACACCACGCTTTTCAGACCGATGAGTTTTGTAAAAATCGACACGTTTCAGAAAGGCGGGGCATAGAGGAGAAACAATAATGTACAGTATGTGGAAAAGAATGTGTTTTTTGAACCTTAAACCGCGTAAACACATTGCATTACACCAAATACACAACATAATGTTTTTTAGCAACGTCATATGACCCCTTTAATATACATTATACAAAATTCCAGTAGTGAATATACGTTGTATGTTGATTAAATTAAATTTATTCATGATGTTTTATTTAATATATATATATATATATTCTTATTATTACATTAATATTCATTAAATAAAATTCTACAGTGAGTACAGTGACTTTTTTTTGTTAGTATGCTCCACTCTTAAATAGTAAATTAATATATAAAGGTCATGAAAAAGTCACAGAAATTCATTGTTCAGATTCAAAATGTGCTTAGAGTGTTTTGACTACTTGTTTCTGACTTGTTGTCATGTTGTTTTGTCAGGGTGTGACGTTCCGTATAGAGAACGGAGAGCTGGTGATCGCCCGCATTCTCCACGGGGGGATGATCGACCAGCAGGGTCTGCTCCACGTGGGTGACATCATCAAAGAGGTGAACGGGCGAGAGGTGGGTGACGACCCTCGTGTGCTGCAGGAGATGCTGCAGGAGACCAGTGGCAGTGTGGTGCTCAAAATCCTTCCCAGCTACCAGGAGCCATATCCCCCGAGACAGGTACCATCTCCTCCCCCTAAATACATAATGGGACATGCACAGTGTCTCACTGCCAGGGTACTTGCATGCACAGGGCATCAGTGACCCCATTTACACCTGATATTATGTCTCAGGCAACCAGAGGTTTTGTGGCTCCACATATGCACATCACTGCTACCTACTTTCCTCTTGTTTTTCTCTGCTGCTCTTTCGTGGTTGTCATGGATACCAGAGTAAGGAGTGACCGCAGCAGTCTCACTCTCAGTTAAAGCCAGATGTGTTCACTGTGATAGCAGACGGGATTGTGAGCTTGAATGTAGTAGCATGTTGTAGACGGTTTCAGTAGACACTATTAGCATTTTACTATTTCAGACTACAAATATATAGTTGTTTGATGTGGTTTATCAGATGGACTGTTAAAATATTTTTTATTAAATGACTTAGAATAAGTTCTTTACAAATCTAACTCATTTCTTACATTTGTTTTAAATCATTTTCAGATTTTGAATTATTGAAAATAGTCAGTGCTGGGTAGTGGGTAGTAACTGATTACATGTAATCTAACACACAAACTGGTAAAAAATGTATAGCCTGAATGCACTGTAAGTCGCTTTGGATAAAAGCGTCTGTTAAATGCATAAATTATTATTATTACTTATTATTAAATTATGTAATCTGGATTACTTATTCACACAATTTAAGTAAATTATACATCATTTATTGATTCTCCCTAATTATTTTTTCTCCCTTAAATTTTCCTTATTAAAACATTTTACAGCTTATATACATTAGGAAAGTCTTCCATTTTTATGGAGCTGCACACTCTAGCAATTTCTGTCGTGCAATTTGTAATCAGTAACAGACTACAATCTGTAAGTAATCTACCCAGCCAGCATAGGAAATAGTTCACATTGATAACTTTAACGCAAAGTATATTTCAGTCAGGATCACGATTATCCTTGTCTCTACAGGTTTTTGTGAAGTGCCATTTTGATTATGACCCTGCCGATGACAACCTCATCCCTTGCAAGGAGGCGGGACTAAAGGTCTCATGTGGAGACATTCTGCAGATTGTTAACCAGGAAGATGTGAACTGGTGGCAGGTTAGTCGGTCAACTTAGAAGCACTACAGTGTCTTTGTGCTAAAACGACATGTTCATTTACCTTTTTTGAGGACCTAAAGTCACGTCTGCTTTTTAGTTAAAATATAAAGATCTCTTTATAAACGTTGATCAGCCTGGTAAAATTATAACAAACTTGTTTGTACATGATATCTCCACAGGCACGTCGTGTAGAGGGAGGCAGTGCTGGCCTGATTCCCAGTCAACTTCTGGAGGAGAAGAGGAAAGCTTTTGTGAAGAAAGAAGTTGACCTTTCACCAGCAGGTACTTCATATTATTGTGGAAACCTGATTTTTTTCCCCCCAGGACTTTTTAAATAAAAATGTTAAAAGAGCAGCATTTATTTGTATTTTTTTTGTAACATTATAAATGTCTTTACTATCACTTTTGATCAATTTAATGTATCCTTGCTGAATAAAAGTATTCATTTTTGTTTTTTCAAATTCTTTCAATAGTTTTTTTTGAGCCTACCCTGTTGAATGGTTGATTTGTGCATACCGCCCCCTGGTGGATTTAATATGAACATAAACGATGTCTAATCCTCAAATCAAACGTTCATAAAGCAGTGCAAACAGTTAAGATGCAAACTTTGTTAAAAGTTCAATAATGCTGTAAATATTTGTCAAAACATAATATCACTGTGTATTACAGCCAATCTCTGCACTGGAATGGTTGGCAAGAAGAAGAAGAAAATGATGTATTTAACTACAAAAAATGCAGGTTTGTTTTTCTTTTTAATTAAAGGGGTCATATGATGCTATTTTAAAGATCATTATTTTGTGTATTTGGTGTAACAGAATATGTTGACATGCTTTAATGTTCAAAAAACACATTATTTTTCAAATACTGTACATTATTGTAGGTCCTCTATGCCCCGCCTCTCTCAAACAGCCCCCTCCTTTGACAAGCACAGTCTGCTCTGATTGGCCAGCTGACCCAGTGCATTGTGATTGGCTGAACACCACAAGCACGCGTCGGAAATGTAACGCCCCTTACCATAATCGCGAGCTTCAGCTTTCAAAGTAAATATCAAGACAGTTAATAATGTTGTTAGTTTTACCATCAGTCCAAGCCCGAAAGGGCAATAGAGTCGCGTGACAGACACAGGGATGATGCAGTACACAAGCCGCGGTTAATTCAGACTTGTTCATGATCATGACCTGATGTAAATATTTCTTCCCTTTAGTGTGAGAGATTTTTTTGGGCACAATAAAAATGTAGTGCTAATCTGTAACTGTCCAAAGACACCTCTAGGAAGCCCAAATCAGCAGATAGAGAGAATATGATGTATGCCTTCACATCCCGGAGTAAGATGGAGGCTGATATTAAAGCTGGCCGCTATCTTGAACATGGTGAATATGATGGTAACCTCTATGGCACCAAGACTGACTCCATCCATGAAGTAGTGGAAGCTGGACGCATCTGTATCCTGGACGTCAACCCACAGGTAAGGGACTCTCTAACTAAGGACAAGATCAACATCCATGAGATTTCATATGCATGTGATGCTGTTTTGTAGTATTTCATGAAAAACACTTTGATTCTGATTCCTTGATTTTTTTTTTTTGCCATAGGCCCTAAAAGTCCTCAGGACATCAGAGTTTTTGCCGTATGTGGTGTTCATCAAAGCCCCTGAGTTTGAGGTGCTGAAGGCCATGAACAGATCTGGACTGGAGGCAGGAGTGACCAAACAGAAAACAGTACGTTTAAGTCCCACTCAGTAGCTGTATTCCCTACTAGAAAGCTATACTCTAGTTTTGACCATTCTAAAAATCTGAGTCTGCCTCTTGTCAACAGGACACAGAGCTGAAGAGGTCAGTGGATGAGTGTGCCAAGATTCAGAGAGTGTACGGACACTACTTCGACCTCACCATAGTAAACGACGATTTGGAACAGGCGTACAGCAACCTCAAATCCTCCTTAGAGACGTTAAAGGGAGCTCAGCAGTGGGTTCCGGTTGGGTGGGTCTTTTAGAGCTCAGTGTGGCAACTAGTGGATGTTTCATGCGACACTTTATACCAGTGTTAACTGGTTTATATCATCAACCTCGTGCCAAGGGTGTACGCTGATCAGAGAGCTTATATGAGTGCATGTGTGAGTGTGTGAAATCCTCGTCTATTATCCTTTACAAACACGGCTACACCCTCAGAACCAAGCTTATAGCTGACTCTTGTGTCAGAGTTTAGCTACAGTCTCATCTTTTTGTTTACAGTAAGCATTCAAGTTTCAGTTTAGATGCATTTTTGAAATTTGAGATTATTTTTTGAATCGTTTAAGCAAAATATCGGAACATCCTTAAGTTAAAAAGAATAATCTATTAAGGAAAAAGATCCATTTATTTCAGTAACTAAACTGTGTAAGACAAGACTATATTTTGTAGAATATATCTTGAATTAAAAATTACTATTGGTAAATAGTTTTTTGTAGTTGTTAATTTAAATGTAAGCTTTTCAAACTGTTGTTAGATTTAGGGTAAAAAAACAAACAAAAAACTATTTAACAAAGTTAAAGTCAATATATACTTAACTGTTCAAAAGTTTGGGCTCAGTAATATCTTAAGAAATTAATAATTGATTAATTGATTAAAAAGTGACAGTAAAGACATTTATATTGTAACAAAAGATTTCTGTTTAAAATAAAAGCTTTAAATAGAATTTTTAAAAATGCTTTTAATAGAATGTTTAAAATAAATTCTAAATCCTGAAAAAATGTATCACAATTTCCACAATAACATTTAAGCAGTGCAACTGTTTTCAACACTGATGATAATAAGAAATGTTTCTGACACTGACACTGCTGAAAATTCAACCTTAATATCACAATAATAAATTACATTTTAAAATAAAATTTTTAAAAACATTTTACATTGTAATAATATTTCACAACTGTTACTGTATTGTTTATCAAATAAATGCAGCCTTGATGTGCATAAGAGACTTCAAAAATCTGTCGATCCCAAACTTTTGAATGATTGTATGAATTCTCTAAAAACAAATCTTATGCAGATTTGCTTCTTAAGTAAATTTAACAAGTTATGTTTTTAAAAAATAGTTTTGATTTATTATTGACAGATTAGTACAGGCCTACATTAATTCTGTTTGCATGGGTGGTAGATGATTGGACAGTGCTTCATCCCTGAATTATATTTTTATTATAAGGCTCTATTTTGCTCAGCTCCTGTTGTTGTGTCAGGCACATGACTTTTGTACAGTTTTTTTCATATACATCCACATTACAGAACTATTTTTTTCTGAATGTAGCGCAGGAATATATTGAAAGGTGATCATATTAAGACTGAAAGCACACTGAAAGAGGTATGAGTAACAGAAACAGCGGGCAGATAATATTTTGCACACAATATACTGTGCAGAAGGTGTCACTAAATGCAGCATATATTGATTTCACATGGTTTCTTTTCACAGATCACCATATCAAACATTGTGAACTGTATTTACATAACCTTTTTTTTTTTTGTAAACAAGTTTGAAAGGACCAAACATAATTTTTACACTTTAATTGGAAAAGAACCTGTGAATTGCAGGGAAGAACAGTGCTAGAGCATGACATTAAGATCTGTATATAAATATTTTTGAAGATGCTGTTGGTGTAAAATCTGTGTATCTGATCTTATTCGCAGCAAACATCATGACGTATTTATTCTAATGCTGTATATGCTTATTGGATGAAAATATCTCTTTTTCTTAAAGACAAACCCTCTCTACTTTTTCTATTACGATTTGAACATTCTTCAAGTGCCAATTTATATTCACTGATTATCATTCATGCCAATGATATTTGGCTTGAATACTGGCAGCTATTGTTTACTTATGTGTTTTTTATCATTTATATCTATGTGTAAGGTGTTATGATTTAAGTTTTGATATTGATATTACATTTTCTATATATCAGATAATGGAATAAGCTAGAGGCGGATACTGTATAGTAGTCATGTTTCATGTGCAAAATCAGTGTATGATTAGAAGAACAATCTGTAAATTGCCTGATTTCTGAAATAAAATGTTTAGGGAAATAAATGAATCATTAATTGAAAGACTGTACTAATCAAAATCCGAAAAAAATACTGACAGCATTTTATACACCTTTTGGCTTCAATATCTGTATTGCTGATGAATTACTGTCCAGATTTACACTGATTCCACACAGACAAGAACCGGACTTTATTCTCAATGAATGGGATAAATAGCTTCAGCCAATTAGAGGAAATCATTTATTTAAAACCTAAATGTGACCTAGTCAAGGACTATAGATTGCTTTGTCTTCAGTTAGTGGCGTTGTGGCATTTGTGTAGCAAGTGCCTGTCATTTGGACTTCTGTCACTGGTTGCTAATTTTGTTAACTATGAATGTAACTAAAGTAGCACCCATACACATCCATATAAATCTGTCACTTTTTAAATTTAAGATTTGAATATGAAATTTCTGAATTAAATTTAAAAAGTATACATAGAATTAACTGCTATTGTTCTATGATATATTGTGTTTTTCTGTCTGTGAAAGGGAAACATAAAGATATGCACTGATTTATCAGCTTAAATTCAGGTTAGCTCACAAATTGTCCACACATCCACTTTTCTCCTGAGCACGTTATTTAACCGGTTTCACCATCAGAGAGCAGAGTTTGTCCCAAATATATACAAATATATCACTTCAGAGGCTGTATGCCAGGGATCCTCAAATCTGGCCCACGGGATCCACTTTCCTGCAGAGTTTAGCTCTAACCCTAATCAAACACACCTGAGCATGCTAATCAATGTCTTCAGGATCATTAGAAAATCACATGTAGGTGAGTTTGATCAGGGTTGGAGCTAAACTCTTCAGCACATTGGGCCTCCAGGGCAAGATTTGAGGAACCCTGCTGTATGCCTGCATGTCGTCGAGAGTGTGGTATGTAGAGCAACACGATAGCTTCACTTTAATTCACTTTTCGACCTACAAAAATATGATATGATAAATAGGTGTTTCTTGGCCAGTCAGATACCAGGAACCGAACTATCCGGTTATGTGCGTTTCATAAAAAAAACAACAACAACAACTTTAAATCCTCTCACCTAAGGGGATAATGAAATGTCATAATTTAATCACTCTTATGTCATTCCAAACCTGTATGAGTTTCTTTCTTCTCTTGAGCACAAAAGATATTTTGAAGAATGTTGGTAACCAAACAGTTGGCAGTAGCTACTGAGTTCCATAGTGTTTCTCTGGGGGGGGTAACTAACCTGTATAGTCTCTAAAAAAACATCTCCCTTGAACTCACTTATGCAAATTAAATGTGTATTTATGCACCTCCTTATTTGCTACCTGCAGTTATTTATGAATACAGGACGAATTCCGGTAAAGAGGCAACTTCTTGGGTAACCTGTAAAAATGTTGCGGTATTTTCATGTCAATAAAATTGTATTGTTTAGAGACCATAAACAAATCTTTAGTAAAGGCTTGTTTATTTGGAGGGAACGGTTTTTTCATTTGATTTAAGAAACAAGATACGAGAGACCACGCTATATTGTGAATACCGTACTTTGTACGCCTCATTACAGTAGCTGCAACTTCTTTAACCATGAATATAATAATAACAATAATACAGCATAACCTAGAGTGCATTTTTATAAAACATTATAAAACTAAATATTAATAAATACCAAGGACACAAGTTTTCATTCAAACGTATTTTAATAGCCAAATTCGTTCAATTACATCCTTCCGCTAGAAAATATAGTGCGTTGCCATGCCACAATGATACTCTATGGAACACATGCGCAGTGATATGATAAATAGGTGTTTCTTGGCCAGTCAGATACCAGGAACCGAACTATCCGGTTATGTGCGTTTCATAAAAAAAACAACAACAACAACTTTAAATCCTCTCACCTAAGGGGATAATGAAATGTCATAATTTAATCACTCTTATGTCATTCCAAACCTGTATGAGTTTCTTTCTTCTCTTGAGCACAAAAGATATTTTGAAGAATGTTGGTAACCAAACAGTTGGCAGTAGCTACTGAGTTCCATAGTGTTTCTCTGGGGGGGGTAACTAACCTGTATAGTCTCTAAAAAAACATCTCCCTTGAACTCACTTATGCAAATTAAATGTGTATTTATGCACCTCCTTATTTGCTACCTGCAGTTATTTATGAATACAGGACGAATTCCGGTAAAGAGGCAACTTCTTGGGTAACCTGTAAAAATGGCCAAACTATTTATTAAGAGGAAATAATTTATAGTCTGACAGCAGGTCATTCTCTGCAGTAGGTCAAGTTGAACTTGATATTTTCAGGCATTTACTTTTATTGACCCAGTGGCTCTGAGAAAACAGTGAGAGGCCATGCATGAAGTTGCCTCACTGTACCCACAGTCTTCCTTTTGTATATTCAATACTTTATTCACTTCATCTAAAACATATTTTATCCAGTAAACTACAAGCAAAGCTAGCTTTTTATGTTTCTGTAGGTATAGTGGAAGTGGATGATTCCATACTTTATGGCAGATTATTGGTGTCATTTCTGAGAATATTTTTGTCATGTGATGATATGATGACATGGGCGTGTTTTATGTTTTTTTTCCACTTAAGACGTGATGTACAAGGACAACAGTCTACGTAAGATTTTATCTACCAGTACAATACTAATGTAGACCTTTGTACTGGTAAACATTCCATTGCAACCATAATTCCATTGCACTTACAACCCAGACACAGTAAAAGCTTCTTTTTTACACTTCTGTCTTTCCATAGATTGTGAAGCATGCGAAATGAAGATGATAGTAAAAATGGGTTAAGTATGTTTTCTAATCTAGAATTCTTAAGCCTCTTGAATTTGGATATAATATAAAACATGCCACAATCTGAAATGTTCTGAAGTTTGATTATCATCATTCTGTATTTTCTTAAATCATAAGATATTCGTTCTGAATTAAAAGTAGCTCATGTAAATGAATGAATTGACATAATTTAATTTGGTGGTAAATGTTTAATAATAAATCAATTAATTCAATCAAATGTTTAATATTACATTAATAACAAATCAATAAATGGACAGACAAAGAGAGAAACTGTAAGCAATGTAACTGTATGCAGTTATATAACCTTGGCTGACATTAAAGCGTTTGAAGAGGTAGATTTTATTTTTTACATTGTTTACTAACAAAATTGCACTTATGTGACTGTGTGTGCATGTAACTGTCAATGGACCTTCTGAACAGCCAAAGCTGTGAATTCTAAATGTGATGGTTCACATTTTATGAGTAATAATAAATGCATTGGCTTATATCTGCGTAGGACCATGAGGACAGTGGCAGTGGTAATGCAGGAGGCGGAGCTTCACCTCCTCTGTTGTAACCGTGCTGGACTTTGGCTTCTGAGGGTGCAGCTCAGGTGGCATGTTGACCATGAAGAGTGAGCTTCCAGACAGTCAGAAAGATGGCTTATACTACATATAATTTATTATCTCTCGTTAACTTTTAACATACTCTCAGGACATTATTAAGAGCCAGTGTTTATGCATTATTTTTATCATACATTTTCAGCTATACAGTTTACAACAGGTCAACCTGTTTTTCACAAGTTAACAAAAAGGCTATTGCATGTACAAAATGTATAAATATTCACAAAACATATATATATATATATATATATATATACTTTTAAACCTTTAAACAAGTTCTGCTGCTCATCGTGCAAAACAGTCTTTCTTTGTGACCCTGTAGAACATGTTCAAAATCCCAACAGAATCGCAGATTACTATAACTGTGACATTTTCCTTCTCACCATTTAAACCTTTGCATTGAGTAATAGTCCTTGGAAAAGTCATGAGAATATGACGTTGCCTCTTATTTTTCTTTTAACCAGTCCAAGTGCTTGAGATGCGCTTATGTTTGGTGTGATCATGAATGTGAGGGTGGCGAGACAGATTCTGAATATGCAGGAGGAGGTTCCACAGGACAGGCCTCGGGCTTCAGATTTAACTGCAAAAGCAGGAATTAATGATGCGTCGTCATTAACAGTGAGGACAAAAAGCTCATTTAAACATTTCAGGACAAGATACAATAAATGATGGTCTAGACAACTTAAAGTTAATGTACTGATTGTTTTTTTGGGGTGAAACCTTTTACACTTTAACATATTGAGTACATTTTAAAGCTGTGAAATCAATGAATCGATATACCTTATGAACTGAAAAAATGAAGTAGATAAGAATAACTACTTTTGGTACCATAACAAATAAAATTGAGGACACTATAAGACCCAATTTGACTCACACATTTGAGTAAGCCAATTTAAAACCAATATTTATGAGTAAAGCAAAGCTATTTCATTGGAATACATTAAAAATGTAGCTGTTAAAAAATTGACAATTGTTATCAAGCAATAGCACACATACACTAAGTTGATGTTAAAGCTGAAAAATATTGAAATGAGTAATTGTGATTCTTGAAACTGGTCGGTAGGCTATAATTTTATAATTTTTCTCAAATATTTTGATTGAATTTAACAAAAATATGAAGTTTATCTTAAAAATATACTTAGTTGTATATTTTAGTTAGTTGCATATTTAGTTAGTTTAGTTGTTTATATAAAATTAGTCCAAAACTAATTTTAGGCATTGGTATTTGGTATTTCCAACTCCAAACAATCTAGGAAACTAAAGTTCTGTAATAATTTACTCGCCCTCAAGTTGTTCCATACTTGTATGAGTTTCTTTCTTCTGCTGAGCACAAAAGAAGATATTTTGTAAATGGTCCCAATTGACTTTCATAGTATTTTTTCCATTTTATGAAAGTCAGACAGTTATTCTTTAAAATATCTTGTGTGTGTGTTCAACAGAAGAATGATACTCATACAGGTTTGGAATAACCTGAGGGTGAGTAAATGATGACAGACTTTTAATTTTTTGGGGTGAACTTATTAATAATAATGAACTTAGTTATTACTGTGATATTTACAAAGCCACTGAATTGTTTTTAAGAGTACATTCCACACTATCTTCAGGGTTACCTCATGATAAGCAGGAGGCGGCTCGTAGAACTGTACAGTGCTGTAGTGCGGTGGTCTGTGCAGCTCATCTTCAGACAGAGAGATTGGAATGACGTAGACGGTCCGTTGATCCACGGCTCGAGCTTGAGCCTGCAGATGCTCCACGCGCTCCTTACGAACTCGCTGGAATATTTTACAGAAGCCAGCACAGCAGATTGACAAAAACCCAAAGGTTACAATAGGTACGAAGATTCTGAAAGAACAACGGTTGGGCAGTGTTAAGATACTGCATGAGTGTGAGCACATGTGCTGATGTGATTTTGAGTTGTTAGTGATGATAAAGAACATAAACCATTCATATATCATACAGATGAAGAGAAGATAGAAACTGAATGGACATTTCCAAATGTTCCGAATGCGGAAATAACCTACAGATACATACAGTATCTCACAGAAGTGAGTACACCCCTCACATTTTTGTAAATATTTTATTATATCTTTTCATGTGACAACACTGAAGAAATTACACTTTGCTACAATGTAAAGTAGTGAGTGTACAGCTTGTATAACAGTGTAAATTTGCTGTCCCCTCAAAATAACTCCACACACAACCATTAATGTCTAAACCGCTGGCCACAAAAGTGAGTACACCCCTAAGTGAAAATGTCCAAATTGGGCCCAAAGTGTCAATATTTTGTGTGGCCACCATTATTTTCCAGCACTGCCTTAACCCTCTTGGGCATGGAGTTCACCAGAGCTTCACAGGTTGCCACTGGAGTCCTCTTCCACTCCTCCATGACGACATCACGGAGCTGGTGGATGTTAGAGACCTTGTCACTTCTGTGAGATACTGTAAGAGAATAAAAGAAAATATAATTTTTACATTTTATGATCTAAAAAAAAAGCTATTGCATTTTCACAACTTTCCAAAAGTGGGAAAATACCATTTACATCAGCTTTTACTATGTTGTAAATTGTCATTTAATATGAGGCTAATATACCACAACATATTGGCCCGGTTTCACAGACGGGGCTTAGCTTAAGCCAGGACTAGGCCTTAGTTAAATTAAGATATTTAAGCAGCTTTTATAAAAATGCCTTAGAAGAAAACATTACATGTGTGCATCTTGAGACAGAACAATGGATCTGACTTTTGGAACTGGAAAATGGAACTGACATATTTTAAGATATGTCAGAGCACAATATTTTCAGTTGAGACAGCTCAAACATGCATTTTAGTCTGGGACTAGCCTTAAGCCATGTCTGTGAAACCGGGGGATAGTTTACTAAATGTACATTATTTTGTGTGTGTGTGTGTGTGCATACATACGCCCACACACACAGAAAATAATGTACATTTGTATGGTTTCGGAAATCTGCATGTGTGTGTTCAATTTCACAAAAGAGCATTGAGAGCAGGTATACATACTTATATACTATATATGAATCATCACTCCTCTCCATGGCATTGAAGAAATTCCCAATTCAGCAGCAACTCTGTCAGTAAGTAAATAAATTATATTTGGTGATGACAGATTTTATTAGTCTATAATCATTAATATACATATAATATTGAATTCACTGTGAGGTTTTCAGTAGGCCTATCCAACTCTAACTCAAGCATCATCATATAGCAGACTGGATGGGCAAAAGCTTGATATAATCATCAAATATGAGTCTTTCATACCAAATTTTTATTGTACAGTATTTTGTTCAAATGTATCTTTATGGTAAAACATACAACCCCAAGTAGCAATGTTGGTGTTATTGAAGAAAAAGCTTTTCCGTTCACTTCCATTCATGATTTGTAATTTACTGAAAGCCATGGCCATTGCCGAGGGCCACCAAAGGTCATCTATATAGGATAGCTTACTCAATGGGCCCAAGTGGGCTAAAATGTTGTCCCAGGCTCTGTAAAGTTTAGTGAACACCTTGCTGTAGACCTATATGTTAAGAGCAGATCAGGAGGGCGATGCTTTTGTGTTACACGCACCCCTTCAACACCCATCAAAAACCACTTCTACTGACACCATAAAGCAACAGCTGCAATGTAGGTTTTTGCCAGCAATGTGATTTAGACAACACCTGCCCTTTCCATCCAACAAAGGAATCACAGAATCACAAAACAAAAGAAACCCTTGCAAATATAGAAACGTTTAAGCGGTCGAAAACAAATCACGCCTTTAACACTATCAAAAAGCCTACAGATCAATATATTTATACAAGCCCAGTCACATGTCGGTGATATTCTACTAGCATAAGTGAACATCATACACATTTTATGTAGTTAGTGAAATTATTTCTTAAACCCAGTGAGTATTCAAGCACGTCTCTGAAAAACAAACACAAGTCTTACCTCAAAGAACACGAAGAAGGTGATTACGGCAATAAAGTAGACGCTGAGTGCACTGCTCTGATTTGAGACTGAGTCTTATCTGAGGGAGGGTTTAAAGTGCTGATAGTGAAGTTTGAACACTTTTATGGTGACTGACTGGTGTTTAAAGACACAGTACCTATATCACAGGTGTTTCCTGTACCAGGACATTTTGTTTTTGCAGTACTTCATTAATATCAGCTATTACACTCTCAGAAAAAAGGTACAAAAGCTGTCACTGGGCCAGTAGCCTTTTAAAATGTACCAATATGTATGATTTAGGTACAGATATGTATACATTAGGTAGTAATATGTACTTTTTTTGGGGGGGTACAAATTTATTGAATTAGGTACAAATTTGTTAAAAAGTACCACCCCAGTGACAGTTTTTTTTTTCCCCTAAAAGAGTGCACCAGCAACAATGTGCTTCATTATTTGATTTTATTTACCTCAATTGCCTCATAATTAAAGAACAGGCATTGTATTGCCTATATCATTATATTGCCTCTCCCTGATGAAGTGAAAGCTTCCTTGCAAAGTCCAGGCTTTGGTTTTGGTACAACTGGTGGACCAACATGACCTTTCTGGCAAAGACAGCTGATCAAGGAAGTCTTACTATTTAATCTAGTTAAGATGCCTGCTAGTGACTCGAGTACATCAGTGTTCAAAACAGCTGTGCTGACTCCAAATACACATTTTATCTCCCCAGACGTTTCCCTTTTATTTATGTGAAATAAAGAGAAACACATTTAAGTTTAAGAATAATGTAAAGTTTAATATATTTCACCAACAAGAAATAAGCAAACAACAGTCTAAAGGAGAAAAAATATGAAGTAAATAATACGGCTGCTGGTGCCGATGAGCCAGTTCCCCATGAATTAACTCCTAATCTAGTCAAATAAACCTGCCATTGTATATTATACATTTTGTTGGCTCCTTGACAAACTGCTTTTGTTTTCTCTTTTGTAAATGACTTTGGATAACTAAATGCAAAAATGTAAAATAAACATGTCAAACGAGCTTTGTATAAGGTGCAAAAAGAGTGGACGTTTATAATTGACATAAAACAATTTTAACTTAATTCCCAGACATTTACATTAACAGTTGATTTATTCTATGGACTGTAAATGGTAATTTGGTATCATAAATTGTGTCTGAAATGTGCCATTGTGGTGTACATTTACATTTAATTCACAAACTAGAGCATAACATGTTTGGGGAAAATACTGTATTTGC